TCTCGGTGCGGTTACCCATATGGGCCCCACCAACAGCGTAAGGCCCTCCGGGCAAATGAAATAAGCCCGAGACCCATGTAAAGGGTCCCTGAGTAACTGTGAATACCCCGGCAGGCTATCATATGGGCCCCGGCAATAGTGTTTAAAGCCTTTCGAGCAAATAGAATGTATCCATGGATGTCCCTGGTCGATCAAGAATGGCCGGCAAATTGGCCAGTAAGGCCCCCAAAACAACGCAAGGCCCTCCCAGCAAATGCAAGTAGATCACGAGCAACGTACAAGGCTACTTAGTGATCGAATTAACCCGGTAAGTGGGCATAAAGGGCCCGCGGCAACAGGACACGTCCTTTGGGCGGTGGAAAGGCCTCAAAATCTCCCCAATCACCACCTTTTTAGTCAGCGAAAAGCTAATGTTGTCAGCTGCCAGCTCAAGGCCCTTCACTTCCGTCCCTGTCCCTGTCTGTCCCTGTCTGTCCGCGACTGTCCCTGGTCCCCTAGGGGCCCAAATATGTCCAATTTTGTTATGTTTTGTGTTCAAAAACTGCGTCCGTTCGTTCAGTTTTGAGTCCCTTTGGGCTGAAGGGGGCGTGGTCTCGTGGCCTCCTTCCGGATCCGCCGCTGATGACGCGTGTGCTGAAGAGTGCTCATCGTCACTTAGCATGCGTGTCACAAGCTGAATCTGTCCTTTTAAAAGATATTGAAATGTTTGACTGGCTGAGCACGACGACGTAACCACTGGACTGATATAAACGTTTGGGTGACTTCCAGTGATAATAACCACTGTAGATAATAGCAATTGGATAATGTTTATTGTAGTTGATATATCTAGACAATTATTATTGCGATGGATAAAAGCCATTGTAGAAAACAATGCTAGCAGCACTAATCCATACCAGTCACACAGTAAGTCGTGCGTCGGTTATTGCAATCAATGGAGGCGTACAAGTCACTTCAGGAAACAAACGCTCTTATCGCGGCCATTTTGTGTGTGGGATAGACGTTTCTACATTTTCAATTTTGTTTCGCTCGCTCAATGCTACATGTAGCGTTGCACACAGATTTCCAGTCAATAAAGACGCGTGATACAGGCACAGGGAGCGGTCCCACAGCCCAGCTGGTGTCATAGCTGGGCTTTTTACTCCGAAGTTCGCCCCGTTCTGGCTTGCGCGGCGGTCCAGCACCGGACTGCACCGAGCACATTCTCTGGCCGTCCACGCGTCCGGCGGCATAGAGTCCCAATGGTTCAGACGGCTGGAGGGCCTGCCTTCCGGCCCATCCACTCGTTGTAGGCGCGTTAGGGTTGCTTTGGGCGCTCGCTATTTGCCCTTGACAGATATGACCTGCGACCGGTAGCAGCGGGCCACACTAAAGGTCAGGTGACGTCAGAGGGCAGGAACGGACCGCTCCGAGCATTGCGACACGCTAAACTTCGCACCAAGATTTTGTCGTTAACCTGGTTTTGCGCGATTGGGTGGCAGGGGTCAAAGTTTCACACAACACGCATTGTTTAGCGTACGCGGTGATCCCAGAAATTCATTCATTCGAAAGATTTGGATTGAATATCAATGCGAGAAATGCACGCAGTTGCCCAATGCCATGCTCGTCCCCTCTGGGCAAGGACTCTCAAACAAGGAGGAGTGACAGCAGCCCCCGGGGCAAGGCGTCAGCGTTGTTTGGACAGCCGGGATCCACTATGCCGGCAGGTGCCGCTGCCGGGGGTATCGGAGGCAGCTCCCACGGCGCCTTGGCGTGCGGCCGCTGGGTGAAGGTGAAGTACGGCTGACCGCCGCCAGGGCGGCGCTTCGCTCCGAAGTCGGAGGGAACACCGGCGTGATGCTGTCCTGGAGTGCCGCCACCGCGTCCAGGTCAGGCCCCGTGAGGCATGGCGCGCCACACGTCAGGCCCAACACCTGGAATGGGTGGAACATTTCCGTCAGATCCTTGCGCCCAGCATTGTCCTCGACGCGGCGTGCAGGATGTGAAGTCTGGAGCCTGATTACCGTGACGTCACTGGCGCCAGCCGGCGGTGACCGCTGATGGACCACTCCTGGCAGTCCCGGCCGTGAGCCTTGCTGCGCGGCCGAGCGGTGTTCCTGGAACCGGCTGTCTGACCAGTTTCGGAAATCAGTCCTCGCATCTCCAGCGTGGTGCCGCTCTTACCTCGGCAGCCATCGGACGCAGCGCAGCTGCCGCCCATGGTACCAACGGAGCGGAGAACACTCCTGATTCATGATGCAAGTGAGTTGGATCACTGAAGTTGATGAAAACCGGGCGGTTACAGCCTCTCCACCTCTAGGACGATTGGACAAGAACATAAGTTGGCCGGGGCGCATTATTCGCTTTTGGCTTGTGTACGGTAAGGAAAGTCAAGAATACGTCTCGTAGGACCAACTTAGTGCATCTTCGCCCTGCAGGCTTTCAATAATCAGGAGGCAGGTCAGTAACGTGGCGCGTTGAGCACTCGATGCCCGCAGGTCGGTGGTAACACGGCTTCAAGCTCAACTGGCCGAACTATGGCTGGGGTGGGCTGAATGATCCATGGCATGCCTCAGACCCGGGGGAGGTGGCTGCACCCATGTGCACACCCTCCCGACATTGCCAAGGAAACTACGTCAGCTGAAAACGTTTGGTACGATGGAGCTTGTTCCGCAAAGACCAGCAGGCAGTTGATCAAAATTATAAAATGATGCGTAAAACGGCGAATATTTCGTGACGACTGGTATAGCCATCTGGTGCTGGCAAACCCCCGCTTACCTGCTGGGTACTTTGCAACGGATGTGAGACGTTCCCTGACGAAAGCGGACACGTCTCACGTGAACACACCACCTGGATCGCAAGTCCAAAGCGCAAATCAACACATACAATCATCACGTTACAAATCAGTCGATATTGCACCAGCGGATCACAGCGGGGCAGGGCTCACCTGCAGGGCGACGCAGACGGTGTACGCGGAGGCGATCATGGCGGCCGACTGACCAGCGGTCGTGGGCGGCTGTGGGGGCCGCGGACGGACCTGGCCACCTCCGATCGCGCTGGGCCGCCTGCCAGTCCGCAGGCTAGCCTGCATGAGGCCCTGCGGTTGGCAGGGAGCATCCGGCTCAAAGCTCAATGATCAGATCGCGCCGGCGGATCGTGCTTTCCCATCAGCTCTGCTCGGTTGACGAGGGGCTGCCAGGGCCGCGAGGAAGACGTTGCGGCGTACAGGATGCGAACCCACGGCACCGGTAGGCGCGATTCAGGTATGGACAATGGACATCAGTGGGTTTTTGTGGGATTCGTTGTGTTCATGGATTCGAAAGGCAAATAGCTGTGTGATATGCAACCATCAACTGATGAAACCTCTCACCACCGTTTGCGATAAAAAAAGCCATTATCAGACCGAACGCATTTGTAATGAAGACGGACATCATTTTAAACCGTATGTATTACAATGTTGGATGCATAATCAAAAGTCCCTGCACGTCGTGCGTGGAGCGCGTTGGTAATGAACGTCATTGTTATTATCATAAACATGGCAACATACAGTCACCCTGGCCCAACTGTCGCTAGTTCAGTTGTACTGACTCAGTTGCCTGGTTATCTGGTTGGCAGCGATTCATTCTCAGGTAACATCTATTGCGGCTCGGTTAACAACAGACCACTCTTGGGTAACAGCGGCCAACCCTCGGGTGATAGAGGCCTACGCTCTGTTGACAGCTGCGCACCCTCTGGTGACAGCCACCCACCGTTGGGTGACAGCCATCCACCCTCGGGTGACTGCGCATTTCTAAGTGGTCAACCCCACCATAGGATGATCTCACTTGCCACCACAGAATGAAGGCGTTTCGGGCTTTAGGTCACGCCGACTACCCTGATCATATGGCGCCCATCCCCAGCTACAGGAGAGCGGTGCTCCGAGTACCTGGGTTCAGCTCACAAGACCGGTCCACCCTATCCTGGCGCCAGGCGGACTTCCGACATTATCCGGGGCGGACGACACTCAGAGCCCGACAGAGCGTGTACTGACTCCCAGGCGTCCAGGGACGCGCGGACCGCGTGCTGACCCCCGTGCTGACCTCCCGTGCTGACCTCCAGACATCCATGGGCGGATTCGTCGTGTATTGACCCCCCCCCCCCTAGGCTTGCATATTACCGTATCATCGCCCACAACAAATCACACCCTGTGCAGGTGCAAGACACTGCCCAGTGTAGCTTGTAAACGAATTCCAGCACTCATCGGTGAACTCGCCAGAACAAACTGCAAAACAGCCGCCAGCAGCCATCCACGACGGGACCGGTCAGGAGGCCGCCAGCGTGTTCTGTCTATCCCACCTGACAACACAGCGGCGCGCGGCTATTTTCAGCCAGCTATTCCCAAAGCCGGCTTGAGCAGCGGGGCCCCCTGCTCAGCCTGCGGTAGCACTCGCGGTAACATCGCACAATAATAGCAGTGTGTTCTCCAAAATGTTACGAATACTTGGACCACAGCCATCCCAGCCACAACAGCATCCTGCTCTGTGGTTTAAGCGTGATCACCGCCACACAATCCACGCCACATGATGTGCTAAGAATGAAAAACACACGGTCAAAGGGCATGGTGACGTCAGTGACGTAAGCTGCCAGCACCGTCACACTGTGTGCACACGGTGTCACGTGACGTTCTCTGACATGCGACACACACGGCCCCGCGACTTGTCCTGTGACGCGCCCAGCAGCGGCCGCTGGACTTCGGGTGTGGCAGCAGCAGAGCGGTGTTCAGCAGCAAGCAGAGCAGCAGAGCGGTGTTCGCATCGGTGTTACGGTGAGCGGTGTTCGCATCGCTATCACAGTGGTCTCCGCAGGCTCGTCAACCGTTCCCAGCTTAGTCCGCTGCCGCGCTGCCCCGCCGGCGGCGCTGGACTCTCGCTAGCACTGCCCCCGCCGGCGGCGCTGGACTCTCGCTGGCCCGCGACACATCGCTGCCGATCTGGTCACCCGCCCGATCAGCAGAAGCTGATTGATTGGTTCCTGGCGCCGATCTGTTGCTGATCTGGCGCTGATCTGTTGCTGATCTGGGGCAGGTTTTTCGCTGCTTTGGCGCAAATATTTTGCTGATCTGGGGCTGATTTGGAACTAGGGTTGGACTCTTCCCAAATCGAGTTGGAAGAAAGACTTTAAAAACACCGTGCTAACCATGGGTGTTGCGTACTGGGCAAGCCATGGGGCAAGGGTCAAATGGCCACCAAGGAGGCCAAACCTCTGAAGCTCTCCACATTATTTTAGAAGACGTCGTCATTGTTGCAGGGCTTCATTTCATTTGGTGATGTCCACCTAACTCGGAGATATCCCCGCGATGCTACATGCTGCATGGTCCGGTCTCATGGTAAATCAAGAAGCACCCTATTGCGCCATATCGGCATCAGATTAGCACTGGAGCGAAGCCAGCTCAGCGAAGCACCACATAAGCATCAGATGAGCATGAGACCAGCACTGATCAGATCAGCACCAACCGGCACCAAATAAGCACCAGATCAGCGTCAGATCAGCACTAGATCGGCACAAATCAGCACCAGATTAGCACCAGAACAGCACGGCTCGAGCCCGTCGTCAGCACCAGACCCAGTCCTTGTGGTCCCGTGGTCGGCAGAAATAGGAGCAGTGCGTCTTCAGGCGAAACCCCTTGTCTATCAGGCTGGGAGAACCGACGAAGTCGTGCGGGCTCTTGCGCTGCGTGGGGAACGGCTTGGACATGGGGTAGTACCAGCAGAGGTAGCTGTCGTGCGCGATGAGGTCGCGATGCTTGACGATATGAGGCCAGAGGACCACCGTCCAGCACGCGCTGGTCCAGACCCTGCGGACGAGCCGGGTCAGAGGTCAGAGGCCAGAGGACCACCGTCAGCACGCGCTGGTCCAGACCCTGCGGACGAGCCGGGTCACATGTCAGAGGTCAGAGGACCACCGTCAGCACGCGCTGGTCCAGACCCTGCGGACGAGCCGGGTCACAGGTCGGAGGTCAGAGGACCGCCGTCAGCACGCGCTGGTCCGGGCCCCCTAGACCGATCCGGGCCACAGGTCAGAGGTCAAAGGACCACCGTCAGCACGCGCTGGTCCGGGCCTCCTAGACCGAGCCGGGTCACAGGTCGGAGGTCAGAGGACCACCGTCAGCACGCGCTGGTCCGGGCCTCCTAGACCGAGCCGGGTCACAGGTCGGAGGTCAGAGGACCACCGTCAGCACGCGCTGGTCCGGGCCTCCTAGACCGAGCCGGGCCTCAGGCCAGAGGTCAGAGGACCACCGTCAGCACGCGCTGGTCCGGGCCCCCTAGACCGATCCGGGTCACAGGTCGGAGGTCAGAGGACCACCGTCAGCACGCGCTGGTCCGGGCCCCCTAGACCGAGCCGGGCCACAGGCCAGAGGTCAGAGGACCACCGTCAGCACGCGCTGGTCCGGGCCCCCTAGACCGAGCCGGGTCACAGGCCAGAGGTCAGAGGACCACCGTCAGCACGCGCTGGTCCGGGCCCCCTAGACCGAGCCGGGCCTCAGGTCGGAGGTCAGAGGACCACCGTCAGCACGCGCTGGTCCGGGCCCCCTAGACCGAGCCGGGCCTCAGGTCGGAGGTCAGAGGACCACCGTCAGCCTCGTTGTGATTACGTGGTGTGTTGATTTTAATGCAGAATCTAGCAAGGATAGCGACGATTTCAAGTGCATGGCAACGTGCAGCGATGCCCTTCGGCCTGGTGGTGCTATTGACCTAGCTTCACGGCGAAACTCATAGAACAAAGCACTGGTCAAGCGATCAGTTTACGCTTTCTGCGTCTCTTCGGTGGAAAGATTCGTAATGAAATCTCTGTTTGGTAGCGGAAACGCAATTCGAAGTATTGTTCAAAAAAGAGCATAGTTGCGTAACAAGTTTGCTGCGTCCAATACCCTACACTAGCGCATGAATACTTTTGAAAAACGCGTCATTCGGCGTGGTTGGTATGAATGCTGCACTGCAAGCTTCAAGAAATATATCCTACTTAGGCAGGCATACCCAAACAGTGACATGAGCACGGAATCTACAATCAGCCACAGCCCAGTTGGACCAGAGTATGCCTGAGCCTGCACCCGTCGTCACTTATGATCAGTTCATCTCGCGTCTTCCTTGCAGTGTGCCGGCGCGTCCCGAACGGTCTACTAGGAGGAGGGGTGCGGGACCATCCAGTCATGACTGCTCATCCAGCGCTGCAGCCACGGCGAGCAGCGCGGCCACCTGCTGGTCGGCAGGCGCAGGTGTTTGTCCTCGTTGTGACGTCATGCTGAGCAGCAGCGCTCCGACTGGCGGTTCATGTCGGCACGCTATCCCGGAACAGTTCCCTGCATGCTATCCCGGGACAGTCCCCTGCATGCGCCGCAGTATTTTTGCATGTCGTAACAGGTGGCCAGTGAACATCAATGACACCGACCAGTAAACAAAAACAAATAAACAAATTTCTGAGCCAGCACGAACGACTCGAAATGTACAAAATCTCAAGACACGTTGATGGCTTATCAACAGTGCTCTTAACAGCTGGATTTGATCCTTTCCTCACCCACTGTCATATCACCACGTCACCACGACGCAGAGCCAAGGTCGCCAGGCCAAGGTCATCATACAGCAGGGTTTGGTGTATCTGGTCGCCAAGGTCACCAGACACCGACCTTGAACTTCCACTGGGTGGAGTTGATGATGCGCTGGCGGACGCGCCGGTAGATGTCGTTGTGCCTGTTCCAGCCGCCCCACATGCCGCCTAGGATCTCGGTGCCGTGCGCAGGCGCGTCCCGCATGGCGTGGAACGTCTTGTTGGAGGCGATCCACTCGTCCACCGCCGCCCGCTCACGCTGCCGGGCAGGTCAGGTCAGCGTCGGATCAGTGCGGGAGCAGGTCAGGTCAGCGTCGGATCAGGGCGGGGCAGGCCAGGTTAGCGTCTGATCAGGACAGGCCAGGTCAGCGTCGCATCAGGGCAGGCCAGGTCAGCGTCGGATCAGGACGGGGCAGGCCAGGTCAGCGTCGGATCAGGGCGGGGCAGGCCAGGTCAGCGTCGGACCAGGGCGGGACAGGTCGGGTTAGCGCCGGATCAGGGCGGGGCAGGCCAGGTTAGCGTCGGATCAGGGCGGGGCAGGCCAGGTTAGCGTCGGATCAGGACAGGCCAGGTCAGCGTCGCATCAGGGCAGGCCAGGTCAGCATCGGATCAGGGCGGGGCAGGTCAGGTCAGCGTCGGATCAGGGCGGGACAAGCCAGGTCAGCGTCGGATCAGGGCGGGACAGGCCGGGTTAGCACCGGATCAGGGCGGGGCAGGCCGGGTTCGCGTCGGATCAGGGCGGGGCAGGCCAGGTTAGCGTCGGATCAGGACAGGCCAGGTCAGCGTCTCATCCGGGCAGGCCAGGTCAGCGTCGGATCAGGGCGGGGAAGGCCAGGTCAGCGTCGGATCAGGGCGGGGCAGGCCAGGTCAGCGTCGGATCAGGGCGGAGCAGGTCAGGTCAGCGTTGGATCAGGGCAGGGCAGGCCAGGTTAGCGTCGGATCAGGACAGGCCAGGTCAGCGTCACACCAGGGCAGGCCAGGTCAGCGTCGGATCAGGGCGGGGCAGGCCAGGGTAGCCCCGGATCAGGGCAGGCCAGGTCAGCGTCGCATCAGGGCAGGCCAGTTCAGCGTCGGATCAGGGCAGGGCAGGCCAGGTAAGCGTAGAACCAGGACGGGGCGGGCCAGGTCAGCTTCGAAACAGGGTGGAGCGTGCCAGCTCAGGTTAAACAAGTGTTGATCGGCGCAGGAAAAGACAGCGTACGCCAGAGCAAGGCAGGCAGGGTAGGGCAAGTCAAGTCAGGTCACGTTAGCGCAGGTCAGGGTCGGGCAGCGCAGGGCTGGGTAGAAAAGGTCATGACATGGAAGGGTCAGAGTGAGGAAGTATGGAGAGTGGGAATCACACCAGTCCAGATTACGCAAATCAGATCGGGGTGGTTCAGAGCAGGTCATGTCTGCGTCAGGTCAGGTCGATGCAAAGGGTGTTGACAGAGAGGGCAGGGCAGCTCAAGGCATGTGGTAGAGAGGGATGGGCTGATCAAGTCAGATCGTTTTAGGGCAAGACATAGCAGGACAGGACAGGGAAATGTATGAATAACGACAAGCGACACGCAAACAAAAAGGACCAGACGAAAACGATGCAAAACTAATAATATTCCAGTGCACGTGACATCATTAGCAGCGCTTCTTGGCAAGATATGGATTTCAGAGGCAGCGGCCACAGAAAACTCAGTACCCGCAGACACAGAACACTGTTGGTCAGGGAAACCCAGCCCGCATGAAGCACCGGTTTTTTCGCGGATGCAGGTCGCAAACATCAGCACCGGTAAAGATGTCGCCATCATCGCAGCACCAGCTGCTCTGCTGAGTTCCCTGGTCACAGGCTTCACTGAGTCTCGTTTCCTCGTGAAGTAGTGCTCGCTACAGTATTTAGCAATAGAATTGGCCGTTAAGTCCGTTACCTTCCACCCTCTCACGGCCGAGTCACCTAGTCGCCACACAACGAACAATATATGAACTCTAGTCTCAGGGCCGTAGCCGCTACGTGGTGCCGGAGGCGCCATTAGCGCGCGCAGGAGCTGGAGAGTCTGCTACCCATCGAGGCTCCCGCGAGTCCGCCACCCACCAAGACTCTCGCGAGTCCGCCACCCACCGAGACTCCCGCGAATCCGCAACCCACCGCGACTCTTGCGAGACCCACCGGGACTCTCGCGAGTCCGCCGCCCACCAAGACTCTTGCGAGTCTGCCACCCACCGATCCGATGAGCGAGTCGAGGTCGCGGACGATGAAGCGCTCCACGGTGTCGTCGGCCAGCGGCATGAACCGCCAGATCATGCCGAACTTTTTACTGAGATCCCCGAGGCCGGGCAGGCTGCGCACGTCGCAGAAGTCCACGTTGTCGTAGCTGCAGCGGCAAAGAGCTACACTCAGACAGCGCCTACTGGCTCAGGAAAAGGACGCGCTACACGTCATATCGTCTAGATCATGTTGGCGATTGCTTACCCATTGTTATGGGTTTGCACGGATGTATTTCAACTTGCGCATGCGGTTGGGATTACGTTTTGTAGTGTAAAACCATGTCGTTGACGGACGTAACCATCCTTGCGTTATTATCGGCCGCAGTTGTCCGAGGACGTCACGGTGACGTCACGGTTACGTCACGGAGGTGCCGCGCATCTGCGGGGTACACTGCGTAACGGCCCAGACAATGCTGAATGTCTACCGCCGCCGTCAGATTGCTCTCAAAATGTTTGCATGCCCCAACGAGAACAGACACAATCTCCGAAAAAATTATGCCCTGCCTCCGCAAAAGCCGTTCCATTATCTGTTGTTGCATAAAAACTGCCGATCAATAAAGGCAGCATTTTCCACACCATTTGTGGTGATAATGTCATAAGAAATTTAAGTCATCCACCAAATTTAAAAATGGGTTTCTCGTTTCTCAATCTGATCCTTTGACAGCTCTAGATGATTGAGCGTCGTACGTATCCAGCACAAAAGAAGTAATTAAATTCATACTGCCATGACATGTATGACGCTATACGCAAAAATGGAAACGCGTTACGAGCCGAGCGCAGCGCAAGGAGCCACAGTGTGCATGCACCACTTGCCAACTCACCGACATGCCACGCGGCAGACGAGCTGGCTCTGGCCCGGCTGGCTGAGGTCGATGTCGTGGTACACGCGCACCACCCAGCCGGGGTAGACGCTCGGCACCTCGCGCAGATTCGCCTCAATCCCGCCGAAGAACACGCTTGACGCGTTGCCGTAAAAGCTGAACGAGATGACGTTCTGTCCCGGGCCACGCAGGTCGGCGAAGCCGCCGCAGCTGGAGCGCGTGCCGTTGAGCCGGCGCACCGCCGCTGGGTCGTAGGAGCGCCGGCACGCGCAGCCCGGCAGCTGGTACTGGGCCGTCGCCGAGCCAGGCTCCGCTGCCGGCCCGGGCGCTGGGGACGCCGCCGCACCCGGCGAAGAGGCGGCCGGCGGCCCGCTTCGGCCTGGCCCGATGGTGGACCCGCTCAGTTTCAGGCCCAGCAGCGGACGCGCCGCCGCGTTCGGCGCGAACAGGTCCCGGTCGACCAGCCGGTTACCGGGCGCCCGAGTCACCGTCTCGCGTGCGAACGTCCTGTCGCGTACTGTCGCCGGCGAACGCACGTCTGCCGCGGACGCAGGCACCGCAGAGGGTGCGGACGCGAGTACCGTGGAGGGTACGGGCACGAGTACCGCAGAGGGTGCGGACGAGGGCACCGCAGAGGGTGCGGGCTCGAGTACCGTGGAGGGTGCGGACACGAGCGCCACTGTGGGGCCGGACACGATCCTCTCTCTCGTGTCCACTCCCTCCGACGGGTCAAAGTCCACAAACCGCTGGCCGGAGACGTAGCTCCGCCTGGCGGCGTTGTGCAGGGCGGCGGGGGCGGCCTGACGCCGGTCTGCCGGCCCCGCGTCATCGCTGTGCTCGCTGCCCAGCGCCGCGCGCCGCCACACCAGCCCAGCTCCGGTCCGTGCCGCTGGTGCAGGTACCGTCCACCGGCCCACCACCAGCATCACGAGCAGCACTGTGGTGGCCAGCGCTGGCACCAGCAGCGTGCGGCCTTTGAGGCGCAACACGTTGGCGGCCACCCGTAATGTCTCTGGTGCCGCCATCTCACGGCTGGTCACTAGCGCCACCTACCGAAAGACGGGCACAGACGTCACACAAGAGTCCGGCATAAGACTGGCATATCACATATAGCTATAACAAAAAAAAGAGTGTCAGAGAAACTCCGAGTCAATTGAACCCTTTTATCCTCTCGCTTGCCTCATCCTTCATTCTCATGACGCCCCGCTTGTCTGGGGCAGACTGCATGCGTCAAACACGAGTGGGCCGAGAGGCCCCTGGGAAGGGGGACCCCGACCGGGCACCCAACGCACACCCCAGCGCACGTCCCGGCGTGAGTTGAAGTTTGGCAGTTGGCCCCACAGGTGCATATAGTCCTACCCTGCTGTTACTGTTAGCCGTTCTCATTCTATCCCATAGCCCTGAAATGATCTGTTATGGCTGAAAGAGCCCCGATCTAAACATCCAAACAACCAAACTCAGAGCAAAATGCATATCCCAACATTGCAATATTTTGCAAAAAAGTTCTAGTACACGGAAGATAGCATGCAAACAACAGAAGATCCGCAGGGCCATGTTCTGCGGCTTGACAGCGAATCGCCGGCCGGTCAGCCAAAGGCCGCCACCCCCTTGGGGTGGAGGGGCGCACGTTGGAAAACTCGACCACTGCTGTGGCATTTGTGGCAGCACGCCCACGTCTGACCCGGACGCGTCTGTGGCGGGTGACACCGTCAAATGCCGCGTCAACCACCCAGTGTTGTGTTGCGCTAGCCATTCAAAAGGGGTGCGCGATGCCCCATGGGCCCCGTTGGCAGTGTAGTGGGTGCGCAGTGAAGTAGTGTAGGTTGGCAGTGTAGTGGGTGCGCAGTGTAGTAGTGTAGGTTGGCAGTGTATGGGTGCGCAGTGAAGTAGTGTAGGTTGGCAGTGTAGTGGGTGCGCAGTGAAGTAGTGTAGGTTGGCAGTGTAGTGGGTGCGCAGTGTAGTAGTGTAGGTTGGCAGTGTAGTGGGTGCGCGTGTAGTAGTGTAGTTGGCAGTGTAGCGGGCGCACGAACGGCGGGCCGGGCATACGCTGAGAGGAAAACACTCACATTACAGCCTCAGCACCAGTCCGAATTCCATAAATTTTGCGACAATCACTCGTCCAAGTTTCAACAAAGCGCGGCGCTCACTCTCAGCACCACTCAGAGGCTCTCCCTGCCGCGTCACGGACCCAGAGGCTCTCCCTGCCGCGTCGCGGACCCAGAGGCTCTCCCTGCCGCGTCACGGGTCCAGAGGCTCTGCCTGCCGCGTCACGGACCCAGAGGCTCTCCCTGCAGCGTCACAGACCCGACGTTCACTATCGGCGCCACAGCCAGCTCTCGCCATCAAGTGCCGGAAAGACGTCCGGTAGCGTCGCAACGGTCCAGCACAGGGCGCTCTCCTTCCATCTTAATTGGCGGCAGATTCCGTTGCGTCGCCGGTAACCGTGGCAACGGTCGGCCCGGGCGATGGCGTTCCGGTCGCGTCTCGGACGCCACGCTCCATCAGGCCGGTGCCGGCCGATCGCCATCAATAATAATCCGGGCCCGCCGCGCTGGGGAGCCTGCGAGCGCGCGAGCCGGGCGGCAGCAGCGTAGCCAGGCCGGCCGGCGGCAGCAGGGAGCCTGCGAGCGCGCGAGCCGGGCGGCAGCGGCGTAGCCAGGCCGGCCGGCGGCAGCGGGAGCCTGCGAGCGGGCGAGCCGGGCGGCAGCGTCGTAGCCAGGCTGGCCGGCGGCAACGGGAGCCTGCGAGCGGGCGGACCGGGCGGCAGCGGCGTAGCCAAGCCGGCCGGCGGCAGCGGGAGCCTGCAATCGCGCGAGCCGGGCGGCGGCGGTGCAGCCAGGCCGGGTACACCTCTTCGGCGCCGGCCGGTGCGCCGACGCCGGCGCGTGCTGCCTGCCGCCGGACACGGCCGAGGCCCGCCTGACTCCTCACCGCGGTGGGGTGTGCGTGTGTGTGTGTGTGGGGGGGGGGGGGGGGTCCCGCCTCACCAGCGACGGCCGACAATAGTAAAGCGGGACGGCGGCGGACACCGCGGAGTCTGCACGGCCGGTGGACAAAGGTGGTGTAAGGACGGCGGCGGACACAGGCTGTGTCCGGACACCGGTGGCATGAGGACGTCGGCGGACGTCGGCGGTATCAAGACGGCGGCGGACACCGGCGGTGTCAGGCCGGCAGACGGACCCTAACGCCGCTGTTGTTGTTTGTGAATGTGACGTTAGTGGTCTCCTGTTCTGCCGTTTGTTTGTTTATATCTTATCTCCGCCTCATTGTGCTTTCTTTTTGTCCCGTTGCCGCCTCCCGTTCTGCGTCGCCTCCTCCTGGCACTGCCGGCACTACTGGGGTATTTTGCCGACCACGACCATCCTGGGGAGGGTTCGTAAAGGCTCGTAACGGAGGTTTCTCGTACCACGCTATGATATCTCAGGATCTGGCTCTGGGCCGTGGAAGTTAAAACGACAGTTGGTAGCCCTCGTCACTTTAATCAAAAGAACGGCGCCTTCCTGGGATAGAGTTTGGTTTAAACGAGACAGGGCCTCAGCCCCTGGTTTTTCGGAATTATGACAGAGTTATTTCGCTGAGATATCGATCCTCATTGCATACCGAGCGCAAAATGTCCTCGAAGCTTACGCGCCCTCAAACGCCCAGCCACCGCGACGATACTCGATATACGAACAGGGATTGGCTGAAGCATTTTATGAACAAACATCGGTCATCTGGTAGTACTTCCTCACACTGATACTGCACTCGTGATTGCAAGCACATCTTGAAGCGTAGAGTACTGACAACTTAACCGATGTTTGCTCTATAACGTCGTTTAACCGTTGATAGCTCTCCTTGGTGGCTCCGTGGCCCTGCAACACTAGCCATCTAAATCGAATGGCTGGGTCACTGGCAGCAGGCGGCAGGACTTTATTACTCTGGCAGGAAAAATACGGCAAGAATGCCGTTCAACGGTCAAGATCATTTACGGTGAAGGTTACCCCAAGCTGGAGTCGGGTAAAGATATTTACGTGAAGGGTTTTCTTATCCAGCTCCACCTTCGCGTATGTCGCAGCCAAACGCAACAGCTTGACTTGGCGCGTGAAATTTTAGCACAACGGCCAGCAAAGAAAAATTGATTGGCAAGGCAATTACTTAAAAGGCTATGCCGCACCACCTCGGCCCCCGGTCCACACTCGATTCTCCCTGCCCAGCCCAGCCCACTCCGGCCCGCCCAGCGCACCCCGTCCGAGCGCAGCGCACCCCGGCCCGCCCAGCGCACCCCGGCCCGTCCAGCGCACCCTGGCCCGCCCAGCGCACCCCGGCCCGTCCAGCGCACCCTGGCCCGCCCAGCGCACCCTGCCCGCCCAGCGCACCCCGTCCCAGCCCAGCGCACCCTGCCCGCCCAGCGCACCCCGTCCCAGCCCAGCGTACACCGGCCCGCCCAGCGCACCCCTTCCCAGCCCAGCGCACCCCTTCTCAACCCAGCGCACCCTGCCCGCCCAGCACACCCTACCCGCCCAGCGCACCCCGGCCCGCCCAGCGCACCCCTTCCCAGCCCAGCGCACCCCTTCCCAGCCCAGCGCACCCTGCCCGCCCAGCGCACCGGTGCGCTGGTCACCGGTGCTCTTACGGCCACCCATTGGCGTAGCGTGGCCATGATCCTCTGCAGCACGCAGCGCCGCTGAGCGCGCCCGCCGGCTCTGACCGCGTGCTGCGGAATACGGCACAGCCTCTGACTCCGTACAGTCTCGGACACTACACTATGTGAATGATTTACTCCTCTGAGTCATAGGACTCTTGAAAAAATGTGCGTGGTTTGTTAACTGATGCATGGCAACTGGTCGGCAAGTCCCCGGGACTCGGTATATGTAAGCTGACTTGAAATTGCTTTAATGCCGACCGAAAGCGATCTCTCATTGTAAGACTGCATTCTGACCATGCGAACTCCATCCAGCTGATGTATTACACCAAACCATTCCATAGCAAGAGGGAAAACTGGACACCGCTGCCTCTGACGTCACAAGCAACCGTACAAGCCTTCTCATATGGTGGCATGTATCCGCGGCATAGTCCACCATCAAAATAGCTGTTCCAGTTTGCATCGGATAACTACAAGGTGTCTGCCAAAAGCGTGTGGTGGACTCTCCTGAGCCGATTAAAAGCTGTTCGAGAAAAGAGAAGGAACGTGTTTTTACCCACCCTTGGATAAGTGCCCTACTTGAGCTAGTTGGTGAATGATTGCACATAGCTTGATCAAAAGGAGCGATATGCATGGCCCACGTTGTCACACAAGACTTAATGGCAGGTATACGACCATAGAGGTCACGGATGCACCCAAATAAAGGCACAGCCTTTCACGCGAAGGTTAGCGTCGTGACCAAGCATTGGATGCCTGTCTCATATCTAGATAAAGGCTCATCAACACAGGACGGTGTGCGTGTTGAGGGGCTGATCTGATCTCGCATCTCAGATTATACTTCGTGATGGATGTGTAAAACACGTGGTTATTTAATGCAGCGACCAAAGCCAACCACGAATATGGGCCAAATGGCAGAGATCAGTTTTGTATGCACGTTCACACACATGCGCACCACACACACGCACACTCACGTGCAACACCAGTGAGGCAAAAACACCACGAAAGCTACCATGCCGCACGTCCGAACGCCGTTGCCCCAGGTGCCCGGTGGGACTGTTCAGCTACCCCTTCCGAGCTGTTCAGCTGCCCCGGCGGGGCTGTTCAGCTGCCCCGGCGGGGCTGTTCAGCTGCCCCGGCGGGACTGTTCAGCTGCCCCGGCGGGACTGTTCAGCTGCCCCGGCGGGACTGTTCAGCTGCCCCGGCGGGACTGTTCAGCTGCCCCGGCGGGACTGTTCAGCTGCCCCGGCGGGACTGTTCAGCTGCCCCGGCGGGTCTGTTCAGCTGCCCCGGCGGGACTGTTCGCCGGTGTCAGCTCGCCGTCCTCCGCAGCGGCTGCAGCTGTAGCAAAGCACACCAGACTCGCAACGATGCAGACCGGGCCCGCGCGACACAAGAAGACGGACGAGTTCTCGCGTGTCTGCACACTGGCGCCGACCTGACCAGCTGCTCCGCGCCGAGACCAAACGCCTGGACCATCCTCTGCCATGATACCATCGAAGCGCGTGAGCCGATTCCCACACGGGCGGCGCCGTAGGCCCCACACCGCCGGCCGCCGCCTGGCGTGGGTACTGTCCCGAACAGGCGGCGACTGTCGCGTTTTTGTCGCCGTTTACGGGCAAACGTTTCCGTTGCCGCACCGCAACCCCGCCAGATGGGTGCCGCCGCGACGCCGGGGCTATGCCGTTAGTGAATACCGGGTGGCGTCGAGTCAGCGGAGATTAGGCCCCGGTCCAGGCTGCGCAGCGGTAAGGCCAAACTGCAACTCACGCTGTCCCCAGCCGGGCACAGCCAGCACTGGGTCAGGCGCCGGCTGCCGTCCCCCAACCCGGACACGGTCGGTAGACGCCATGCAATGCACGTGCTGCTGGGCTGCAACAGTCGCAGAGCGCTCCGGGTCTGCGCCAGCCGGCTCTATGTCTGACGTGTCTGATCTAAGCGCGGCTGACCTCGGACCCGGATCGGTGGCCGCTCGGTCTCCAGCGGACTGACAGCAGTCTCCAGCGGACTGGCAGCAGTCTCCAGCGGACTGGCAGCAGTCTCCAGCGGACTGGCAGCAGTCTCCAGCGGACTGGCAGCAGTCTCCAGCGGACTGACAGCAGTCTCCAGCGGACTGGCAGCAGTCTCCAGCGGACTGGCAGCAGTCTCCAGCGGACTGGCAGCAGTCTCCAGCGGACTGGCAGCAGTCTCCAGCGGACTGACAGCAGTCTCCAGCGGACTGGCAGCAGTCTCCAGCCGACTGACAGCGGAGCGGTCAGCGCTGACAGGCCGCTGTCCGGCGCGGGCAGACAGCGTCGTGGCTGCCACCGAGGTACGGCTCCCCGGAGCAGACAGCGCTGGCGAGACACGGCTCCCCGGAGCAGACAGCGCTGGCGAAACACGGCTCTCCGGAGCAGACAGCGCTGGCGAGACACGGCTCCCCGGAGCAGACAGCGCTGGCGAGACACGGCTCCCCGGAGCAGACAGCGCTGGCGATACAGGGCTCCCCGGAGCAGACAGCGCCGGCGAGACACGGCTCCCCGGAGCAGACAGCGCTGGCGAGACACGGCTCTCCGGAGCAGACAGCGCTGGCGAGACACGGCTCCCCGGAGCAGACAGCGCTGGCGAGACACGGCTCCCCGGAGCAGACAGCGCCGGCGAGACACGGCTCTCCGGAGCAGACAGCGCTAGCGAGACACGGCTCCCCGGAGCAGACAGCGCTGGCGAAACACGGCTCTCCGGAGCAGACAGCGCTGGCGATACAGGGCTCCCTTGTGGCCGGTCGGGGACCAGCCGCCGGCGGACACATCCTGTGACCAGTCAGGGACCAGCCGCCGGTGGACACATCCTGTGACCGGTCTGGGACCAGCCGCCGGCGGACACAGCCTGTGACCGGTCAGGGACCAGCCGCCGGCGGACACGTCCTGTGATCGGTCAGGGACCAGCCGCCGGCGGACACAGCCTGTGACCGGTCTGGGACCAGCCGCCGGCGGACACAGCCTTTCGGACCATGCCGTCGGAGGCGGTAAAGACCTCACTGGCGAGAGGAGCCCGCCGTCCGCGCGCAGAGGCTGGACTTTTTACCAGCGCTCAGCTCACCCAGATGGACGGACGCACGCCGCCGCCGACTGCGACGGCGTGCGGACGCGCACCGCAGCGCAACAAAAAGCTGCCAAGACCATGAGAGAATCACAATACAAGCCCTGAACAATAACACGTGCACGGCGCTGGCATGGAGCTCGTGGTCCGAATGTGCTGCACACATCAGGGCAGGTCAAGCACGGGCGTTTTCGGCTGGCCTCTGCGCGTCCGTCAAGCCAGGCAAGGCCCTGACAACCTCACGCGCGGTGCCGGTATCTTTGTATTCAGGGCATGACCGTCACTCAGAAAGTGTCAATCTTGTTTGACTTGCATGCTTCAAAGTGGCGAATGCTAAAACGTAGAGCGGTACAGGAACAACAGCTCAGTCAGGTTGCAAGCATTTGTTCCTCAGAAATATTTGCACGATTAAGCGAACGAAGTGCACCTTCTGAGATCCCCGGATCAAGAAGCATGCGCTTTATTATACTGGTCAGATTATGTGGGGCCCGGCATCCAATGAGTGATGCGAGAAACTCTCGCCAGGGACAAATCTGTGGCGGGCTGCTGTACACACCGGACACTGCCGAACGCAAACCCGACAGGTGCTCCAGGCCCGCCACCGCGCGAACCTTGACCCCAGACCTGCCACTGGACCCGGGCCAAAGGTGGCGGCGGGGTCAGGTACGTCGGTGTTCCCACCGCCCGGGGCGCCGGCGCTAACGGTGGCGTCGCCGTCGCCGCCGCCGTCGCGCCGGCCCCGTGGGAATGCGCTCTGTCCGGCGCCACGCACGCCGCGCTGCGCTGGTCGAGCGACTTCGCGGCAGGAAACGGAGCGGGGAACAGACAGAGAAGACCGGAGACGGAGCGGGAGGCAGTAGGGCAGACTGGAGACGGAGCGGGAGATAGGCGGGGCGGACTGGAGACGGAGAGGGAGATAGGCAGGGAAGACTGGAGAGGGGCGGGAGGCAGATGGGGCAGATGGGACAGAGCACGAAACAGATAGAAGACGGATAGGAGAAGGCGGAAGACGGAGTAGGTGGCAAATCAGAAGACAAACCAAGCGAGACAGGAGAAGGAGCAGGAGACGCAACGAGGATTGGATTGGGTGTCGGGGTAGGAGACAGAACAGGAGACAGAGCAGAAATACGACCAGGTCGGGATTGGGAGCGTTAGGAAAGATATGTACAACTTAAGAGGATCCCGGGACTCCCCTTTATTCGAGGGGTTTGCATAGACTTTTTGAAATTTGAGTGCAGCAAAAGTTCTGCCCCCCCCCCAATAAAAATGTCGGTCGCGTGCCCGCCAGGAAGCCAGTCACACATGGCAGATATTAAACAACCAGAAAGCGGAACAGGGCTCACCGGTTCGGCGTGATGTTAAAAGGACGGGACGAAAAATCCGTGAAGAGAAGATGCTGCGTCGAAGGCCATAAACATAGCACGAAGCAGCTGGACAGCAGAAGTCTGCAAAGGAGCACACATTGACGTCACTGTCTGAAGTCCGCGCTCAGCTGGCGCCGTCTGAGTGCCGGCGAAACGAATGCCTTCCTGCCAGGACGCGACCGCCATCTTCGGAGGACCCTGGCCGACGCCAGGGCGTTGGGGCCACTGAGGCGGCGTCCCTGGAGCTGTTCTGGCCTAACAGCGCCACATCGGCGGGGCTTTCGCCGACGTGGGGTTTTGGCTCTGCAACGTGTGTACGCAAAGGTGGGATGGCGACGTTTGTCAACTTATGGTCCTCTTTGCTTACGTTATGCAGTTGAAAGCTTCGGCTGCTGGCCAAAATTATAACTTTTGTTAGAGCTGGATCACCTCTAATTTCTGCACTTTTCGACGCAAAGAAAGAGGGGAAAGAAGGAGAGAAAGAGAGAGATAGATGGAGATAGAGAGAGAGAGAGAGAGAGAGAGAGAGAGAGAGAGAGAGAGAGAGAGAGAGAGAGAGAGAGAGAGAGAGAGAGAGAGAGAGAGAGAGAGAGAGAGAGAGAGAGAGAGAGATATATATATATATATATATATATATATATATATATATATATATATGTCTAGGTGTACAAAGGGGAGGCTATATATATATATATATATATATATATATATATATATATATATATATATATATGCGGTGCGTGAGTTGACTCAAGTTAGGGGATTTTGCGCCGCTTGACAGCTGATCGTGCGTGCGTGTGCGGTGGCCAAGTAACTGTGTGCGCGCTCAGGCGTTCCAACTGGAGTGAATTGCCGGGCGGCGCTCGGCCGGCAGGGCAGACCGAACGGCGATGGCCGATAAGACGGCGGCCGGGGGCCAGCGGCGACGCACGAGCGGTAATGGTGCCCCGGAACTCACACGCTCCTGGACAGCCGGCTGCCGACCTGTGGTCCGTATATCTGACCTTGACCTGTGGTCCATACATCTGATCCCGGCTTGTGGTCCGTACATCCGACTACGACCTGTGGTCCATACATCTGACCCCGACCTGCGGTCCGTACATGCAACCCTGACCGATAGAGGGGCCTCACTTCCAGAGCGAGTTTACATAAGCCGCTAAGCGGGTGGAGGCTCTCGTCCAAGCAAGGCACACCCATGACCCTAAATGTAGCTGGCCCTCAATACTGACCCCAGGGGGGTCACACCTCCTCTTCATGAAAGAAACGAGCCCATGTATTCCAGTTCCAGCTGACTGTTTGATAAATACCAGCCCCCGGTTTCTGGATAGTGTTGGTTGTTTTGCAAACACCAGACATCGGTTCCCGATTCTCACTAGTTGTTTCACAAACACCAGGCCCTGCTCAATGGTTCCTACTAGCTCTGTCATCAGCACCAGATACCCTGGTTCCTGGTTTGCACTGCCTCTTGTATAAAAAACAGGACACGGTTCCTGGTTCCCATTTGTTTCACACAAACACCACAACCCGGTTTCCACTGATCAACTCACAGAACGCTATTGTACGCCTCCTGCCTCTCATTGGCTCCTTCGTAAAAATCGCCCCGCTGGCCGTGCGACAGTTACCTACCATTGAAGATATGACGTCTCAAAGAAGATGTGCTGCGCATGTTTTGCAACATTTAGTTTAACACGTGCATGATATGAGGATATGGATACGTGGACACACACCACGTGAAAGCGCGTTGGTTTCTGACAAAATTTCGAGTAAGATACTGGTTCTTGCTGGCTACACTGACTTGATTACTTCTAGATCTCTCGGCACCGTTCTAGGCTGGTTCTCTGCTCTTGCCGGATCCCTGCGCATCTTCCAAGTCGGATCTTGGCTCTGACCGGATCTCTCGGTTAAGTGTCAAGTTGGATCCTGATTGCAGCTGGTTCCCTCAGCGCAGTTCAGTTCTGGATCTTGGTTCTTGCTGGCTCCCTCCGCGCAGTTCAGTTCTGGATCCTGGTTCTTGTTGGATCTCCACCTTGATTACGAGTTGGTTTCTGGGTTCTTCCTGGTTCCATGAGTCCGTTCATGACACGCTACCTGCGTGCTGGGATAGGAAAATCAAATCCTTCACTCGAAAAGCCATATGATCTGCACCAAGTTTGCTCTGGTGCCCGGCATCAACGAGCATGGCTGAGCGCATCTTTCGACGCCGCCAAAAAGCCACGAACCGCTAACGGCCGAGAAGTAAGCCTCGTAGCATTAACCGTGAGACGCTGCCATGTGGCGCTGGTCGCAAACTACTTCTTACCGCAGTGCTGAATCCAACGGCATCCATTCTCGTCGAGTCACGACCAGGCCACGGGGAAATGAGGGCGTGACGTACCCCGCAATCAGCGTGCTTCTCGTGGAGCCCGTGCGGCGAGGCGGCGGCGCGAGCACGTCACGGCCCCAGACCAAACGGCGCGTATCCGTGCGGCTTACTACAGCTGGTGTGGTGAATGAGCGCCGCGGCGAAAGACCGGCGACAGACGCCTCGCGGCACCCTTCTGCCCTGATCAACGCCCCCTGTCACTGCGCTCGTCACTCGGCTGTTTCATTCGCCCACAGAGCAGCGTTTCGACGAGGGTATGCCCTCCAAAAAACAAAACAAAACAGGATGGCTTAATGTGAGGGTCCTGTCATCCGCGATGTCAACACGAGCTACCAGCTGCGTTCAGCGCGGCATCCTACGGCTGGCCATCGTGTCGTGGTCCTCCCGAAATAGTAAGGCTCATCCCATGCTGTAACAATGCACGATCAGCGGTGATGCCGGCTCGTTCTGGATGAATATAGGTACTCGAACTTGATCATCTGTGGCAAAAAAACTCATGATCCACTCAGTTATATTTCTGATCAGTGAGCGGCCGTTTCAAACAATGAGCGAGAGAAATGGAAAATGTTGTTTAAAGTAATCAAGCCATTGCGACAGAACCGCATGCCACCATAAGCAGTAGCTCGTGGTTGTTACATTAACCTCGCGTGTCACGGTAACCGTCATGCGTTCACGGTCACGTGCTGCTTTGATTGCCGCACAGTTACAGTCACGTGCCGCACAGTTACAGTCACGTGCCACCGCAACCGACGCACCGAAACGGTTGCCCGACGCGTTGATGTGGCACATAATCAATGGAAGCAATCAATCCACACTCTTTTGCGTTTTGTGGCATGACCGCCGTCATCAGACTTCCACGGGTCTGCCGCCTCCGTGAGGCTGGGGAGGGTCCCAGTTCCAGGGTCTCGGCTCGCTGAGACATGACCCGGGGAGGGGTCCCAGTCATGACCCGCCTCTCGTCAGGCGCCGCCTCCGTGAGGCTGGGGAGGGTCCCAGTTCCAGGGTCTCGGCTCGCTGAGACATGACCCGGGGGAGGGGTCCCAGTCATGACCCGCCTCTCGTCAGGCGCCGCCTCCGTGAGGCTGGGGAGGGTCCCAGTTCCAGGGTCTCGGCTCGCTGAGACATGACCCGGGGAGGGGTCCCAGTCATGACCCCGCCTCTCGTCAGGCGCCGCCTCCGTGAGGCTGGGGAGGGTCCCAGTTCCAGGGTGCTCGGCTCGCTGAGACATGAACCGGGGAGGGGTCCCAGTCATGACCCGCCTCTCGTCAGGCGCCGCCTCCGTGAGGCTGGAGAGGGTCCCAGTTCCAGGGTCTCGGCTCGCTGAGACATGACCCGGGGGAGGGGTCCCAGTCATGACCCGCCTCTCGTCAGGCGCCGCCTCAGTCAGTCCGTAGCCCTCCGGTGGGCGGTGATGACGGCGACCGGCGGTACATCCCGGTTCTGGGACCGACCCCCGGGCCGTCAGTGTATCCGTTACGTGACGCAGGGCCGTCATCAGTCGCGGCGGACCACAGATGTGGGACACGACAGTGAAAGGTGGCGTATTGCTTTCACAGGTGTGGTGTACGGCAGTGACAGGTGGTGTTGCACTGCATCAACAGATGCGCCGGTCTCCCAGTCAGAAAATCGCCGTCGTGAAAAACGCGAGAGGGTGGCGGTACCAGCCGATAGGCTCAGAAATCTTAGGCTCAACTGATGATCACCTGCTGACTGCAAGGCGTCAGTCCTTTGCAAGAAGCAAAGACGGAGGAGAGAAGGCATTTGAAATGCGCGAAAGATTCCATGATAACTGCTGATTTCATTGTGAAATATCAAAGTTCACAGACGCCTTTACAACGGTTATATGCACAGATGGAGTGATCAGTTGTCGGTTTACCGGTCACTTGTGAAGAAGGCGGAATGGGATAAAACCAAAAGCGTGTCAAATTTTTCGGTGCCACCCAAAACGACCTGCGAACCATAGAAGCATTTCTGCTCAATTTCAGATAGTGTGTACTTACTAAAGACAGAAACTGGTACCAAACTGGTACCAAGCCAGGTTAACTGACGCTCTTCGGGCCATCAAGCACGCCATGCCGGCCTGACTAGCTGCGGGGCAGTTCCAAACCCCACACGGATACCGTATGGGACTCTGAATGCAGAGAGCGGGAGGAATACCAAGCCCGTGGTCGGCGCTACACTCGGACCGTTGAAGGGGGTGGCGACAGTGTTTTCAACCCAACAAGAAGCCCGTATCTGCCAAAGCGTTGTGACGTTGGATGAGCTGTTTCATGGCGTGACTCCCATAGCAGCTCTCAGGCTGGTATTCGACTTCGCTGAGCTGGAGGACATAAGCCACGCTTTCCGTCGTGTAATGGCCGGCACTGACATTGGCACCACGCCTTCCTGCGACGTCGCCAAGGCCTTTTACTGCGCTAGCTTGAGGCGAAGAGCTTGAAAAGAAGCATCGGCTTCTGCCACACGGAGATAGAGTCGTTCTTGAACGGCACGGAACAGCTTAATGAAGAGCACGGCTTTGCTGAAACCAAAATATGGAACTGCAATGCGACAGGAGTGTCCACGGTCGCAAAACTGTCAAATATCATCGTGCAAAAGAGCTCCAAGGGTGAGCTTGTTCACAGGTGAGAAGAGGCGGCGTCACCACCACCTTCAGCGGAAGAAGGCTTCCTGGAATGGCTTAAGCTGTTCATTGCTTTCACGGGAGTGTCCGATGCCTAGT